TCTACTTCCCACTTCTTAAAAAAGGGTCTTCTCGTGTCCCAGGAAGCATGGCACTGGGCTGACATGAAGAGTGGTTTTAGGATGCTCATGATGCAAGGGGTGAAGGCGAACAAGAGAGGTCTGGTTCTCGTTTTCTGCCCTGGGGCTCATTCCCCATTGATGAGCTCCTGTTTGCAAAACTGTGATCACCAGCAAACAGTAACGATCCGAGCAGGAGATAACCAGGATGCACCAGAGGCTTGGAGACAAGATTTCTCATCCGTCACGGTTTTCACCTGTATTTTGCCTCTGTTTATGACTGATTTTTGCAGACTGATTCACACCAAGATGAGTGAGGACCTTGCATGTACTTTTCCAAATGTTTATAGAGAGACTTGGAAAGTTAAGTTCCTTCTCAGTGATTCCTACAGCAAAACCTCAGTCTCACACAGTTCCCCCTTCAGACCTGCCATGGGATGAAGGGTTGAACTGAGATGAGGATGCTGGTGTCCTGGTCCCAGGTGGATGCTTCCATCCCAAGCTCTTACCTCCCCCACCTCCATCCCATTCGGGATGACCTGAATCCAACAGCACTGAAGCACAGCTTTTTTTAGTACAGCTTTTTATTAGAAAAATAGAGGCAAACTATCTGCAAATCAGAGGAAATACAGAAAAAATCTAGGGGAAAGAGGTGAATCTCATAGCTGGAGGATCCTATACAGCAAAAGTATGCTGGGACATGATATTAAAAAGGAGGACAATTGCAAAATGTAATTTATTTTGCTTTGTACAAAGAAAAGTAGGGAAGAACAGCAAATAACATTGGATCATACGTTAATATTTCAGTGGGCATTCACAAATCCCGCTAGTTCCTCCATCTCCTGCGTGGCTACCTTCTGCCTACCAATAAATAAAAACAAAGTCATAAAAAATATACCTGCGAAATAATCATCTCCCTCTGTGTGGATTATACTGGCCTTCCCGCACCCCCGTCTGCACCAGCTCATTCCCTCGGGAAGCCACACGCAGCCGGGACCGTTTGCAGGCAGAGCTTTATCAGGACGGCGCAGCGCAGCGAACACATCGTTAAGGGCTGCGACGTTTTTGCGTCAGAGGCATCTGCAGTGCTGACTCCATGCGCCAATTATGTCTCACAGCCGCTGGCCGTTGCAGCCTCTGTCCCTACAGCCCCTGCTCTTTTCCCCAGTAGATTGGCTGCTGTGGGCTAAAAGCCCCATGAACCGATGGGGATGTCTCCCTCCGAGCCCGGAGCCCCTTTGCAGCCCATGGAGATGTAGCCAGTAGAGTCAATGAAGTCCTGGAGTCTCAACCCAGAGTGGACATCGAAATAGGGCAGAAAAATCACTTTCTCCATCTCTCCGTTTCTCTCCTTTGATTTTAAATGGGGGTTGACCAGCTCAGATGTTTACATCTGTGCTGTAGACACACGAATTCAGGTGAGATAAAGCCAGCCCCAGAGCATGGTGGACCCGCAACCACTGAGATAGGGAAAAATAGATATATTCCCAATCTGTTTTATTTTCTAACTTGACATTGCAATGATATGCAGGTGAGAGACTTTGTTAGACTAAGAATTTGTCTTCATTCACCCCACAGCAGTCAAACTTTTCTAGAAAGCCAATGGAAAACTGCCCAACCACAGCTCGTAAACATAGAGCTGCTCCTGTTCCCCAAAGGAGAGTCCAACTGGGCCGTGCTCATAGAATCATAGAATCATAGAATCATTAAGGTTGGAAGAGACCTCCAAGATCATCGAGTCCAACCGTCAACCCAACACCACCATGCCCACTAAACCATGTCCCTAAGCATTATTCTCATGCTAAATCCAAAAGGCATTATGCCAGCTACTAGGAAGAAAATTAACTCCATCCCAGCTGAAACCAGGACACAGGAGAAGGTTGTGCAGAAACTTGACAGTACATTCATGAATGTATAGAAATCAAGGGCATGGAACACTTAAGGGGTTTTCTTCCTTTTGAAGAGCCTTTCCCCAGGCTAACCACCCCCAGCCCCCTCAGCCGCTCCTCATCAGACTTGTGCTCCAGACCCCTCACCAGCCTCGTTGCCCTTCTCTGGACATGCTCCAGCACCTCAATGTCCTTCTTGTAGTGAGGGGCCCAAAACTGAACACAGTATTCGAGGTGCGGCCTCACCAGTGCCGAGTACAGGGGCACGATCACTTCCCTGCTCCTGCTGGCCACACTAGTTCTGATACAGGCCAGGATGCCGTTGGCCTTCTTGGCCGCCTGGGCACACTGCCGGCTCATGTTCAGCCGGCTGTCGACCAACACTCATGCTCTACTATTTGTCCTCCTGGGTCTTATTTGAATGATGCTTAGGCGAAGCCTTTTCTTCTTGTATCCGTACTCCGGTAACATGGTCTGTTACTCATCACTCATAATCCCCCTGGCTGGAAAAGTGGTCACCTGAGCAGGGCAGAAGTTTTGCCGTGCGATGTACGCAGCCGCTTTCCAATCATCCCCAGCTCGAGTTTGTTTATGTGCAGCGGGATTATTAGCAAGACATAATATGAGTTAAAGAAATCAGGATCAGTCAGAAAAAGGGGAGCTGGATAATTTATTCCTCACTGTCATTTAATTCCTGAGAGAAAATCCCCAAACAAGGGACAAGGCGGGGGCAACTGGTCAGCGAGGGCTGAGCCTACACGCCTGCTCGCTGCCTCTTTAGCTTGCAGAAATAGGGCAGAGCTGTGCAAAGATTATTGGAGCAAGAACATCTTGCACAAAAAAGCAAGCTTAAAAGGATACAAAGCTTTCAGGAAGCCGCAGTCTTCCACCGTGACCTGTTTTCCAGCGAATGATTTAATTCCCTGCTTTTCATGTAATAGTTTAGTGTACTATTATGGTCTGTTATCAGTCTACCTATTTAGGGCTGATGAATTTACTGCCAGCGAAACAAATGCAGGAAAAAAAAGCCGATTAAAACAACAGAAATGCTGAAGGAAGTCTTCAAAATCAAACAGACCTACTGGGGGAAAAAAAGAATAAAATGAAAACGGCCCTTAATTTTGTGTAACTGTCCATTTGGCTCGTCTGCTGACCACGCGGGGTTTGAAGACAAGCTGGCCCAGTTTTTGCAAGCTAATAGTGGTGTATTGATCCTTCCTTTGGCTCCTGCCATCACTTCGTGGCATCGGAGCTCTTTTCCGTAGTTAATGGCAGGATATTAATTTAATGGACAGGACGTAGAGCAGCAGGGGCTGCCCTGGGGAATGGAGCACAGGGCACACGCCAAATCCAGCAATGGTGAACGCTGCTAAAAGCACGGAGGGAAGGGGATCATTTCACACCGGGTAATTTTAACGGGGGAGCTGCCTGAGCTCCAAAGGCACGTGCAGGTGCTGAACGTTAGCATTGTATGGACATGGTGTTGCGCCTCGCAGCCTTCGTGTAATCTCGAAGGCAAAACCTGGCGGCTAAGGAGGGAGCGGGAGGGTGGAGGGTGCTGCTCTGGGCACAGGGAGCACCCAGCTCTGGGGAGGGGGTGGTGAACCCCCTTCTTGCTGTCGCTGAAGCGACCTCTGGCAGTAACGTCGAGGATGAAAAAGCAACTGAACCCCCCCCGGCAAGTCTGAAGTGGCACTTTAAGTGATTGCCCAGCAAAGCCCTTCCTTCTTCTCCCCCAAAACCACTCTGAACAGCAAGCTGGCGTGGCCAGGTGGCCTTGGAGGTGCACCTTGGCGGTGGTCTCTGCGTCACTAAGCTGGGTCAGAGGGGTCGTATGGGACAGCGCAGCCCACGGGGCCGGAGTCTCCACGCCAAATGTGGGGAGGCTCATCCGCACCCGTGGTGGGAACAGCCTCTGCTAAGCCCCAACTCCACCCGGGTTGGTGGGGAGCTGGGAGCAACCTCACACCTCCTTTTCTTGGCAGAGCAATTAAACAGACCTTTTGCTGGTGCCACACTGTGGTCACGACTGCAAATGTGTGACACAGAGGACAGTGGTAGAGGGTTTCTCCCTACCTCAGTGCGGCTGAACACGGCGCAGACCAACGGTCTTCAGGTTTAGGAGCCACATCTTGGCATTGCAACTGAGCATGCGGTGCAAGAAACGGGTCTGGCAACCTCCCAAATGCTGCTCTGAAACTGTGGCTGTGCAACGAATGCCCTCAACGCCATAAAAAATATGCCCAGGGATTATCCTGCACAATCAACCCATGTATGAGGTTATTTTAAATTAGGAAAAACGACATCTTCATATAAACCTGATGTTAGTTCCCAGCCAGGGCTCTTACTCTGGATCTGCAAACTAGGCTGTGTGGGTGGGTGTTTGCCCTCCACGAGGAGCGTTACTGACCTCAGTGGCCCTTCCCCAGGTGCCAGCGGGTTCCCCATCCCCAAGTCCTTTGGCCGTGACGTCCTCCCTTATTTCTGGCTGCAGTTTTTCCACAGTAGCAGAACCCGCGCTGCTCCACGTGTCTGCAGGACGGCCGGTGCTGGTGTCAACTGCTGGAAGGCTAGGGACCAACGGTCTATACCTCTGCTCTGACTCCTGCCAGGAAGGGGGTGATGGCAAGCATCATAACGTTTGGTGAGGTTTTTCTTCCTTTTTTTTTTTTTAAAGCTCCAGCTCTTGGAGTCATGTAAATATATCCGAAATCACAGATTTCATTTACTTGCTTTAAAAAACCGAGCTTCTCAGCCCTCCTGTTATAAAAAAAAAAAAAACAACCCCTCTTGAAATGAGGACTTTTATATAAGATATAAAAAAGAAGCCAAAATACGTATTTATATCCCTCCCTTGCCCCCAAATTTCACATTGTGTCAGCCAGTTTTGACTGAGGTTTGTTTCAGGGATTGCTGTGTGCTGAAGTCCCGATCCTCCCAGGTTTTTGCACTCCTGGCTCCCACCAAATACTGTGAGATGTTCCCAGGGGAGCAGCTTCCATGGGACCATGGACCTTGGTGGCGGACGCAGCATCCCCATCCCCAAGTGAGCAGACATCATCCCTTCCCTCCCTGAGTGCCTGATCCTTGCCATCATGGGACCTGTAGGACCTCATACTCATCAGCATCAGCCTCTGTCTTCACCACGATGATGGCGCTGCTGTGGCCACCCACTGGCTCCGGTGGCACATGGCCGGTTGCCAGGTCCTCAGGGGGCTCCTCTCCCTCACCAGGAGGACTTTGCTTCTTGAGGTGGTTCCTCCTCTGGTGCCTCTTGAAATGTCCGATGGTGGTGTAGCTTTGCCCACAGTCAGAGCAGATAAACGGGCCCCGGTGGGTGTGAGTGAGCTGGTGCTTCATGAGGTTGGCCTTCTGTGAGAAGCTTTTGCTGCACTGGGGGCACTGGAAGGGCGCTTCTCCCGTGTGGACCCGCTGGTGGGTAATCAAGATCTCTTTCCTCTTGAAGTCCTTCCCGCATGTGGCACACTTGAATGGCCGGTCTTCGGCATGGGAGGGCTGGTGGAGCCAGAGCTGGGCCCTGTTGGGGAAGACCTGCTCACACTTGCTGCAGCGGTTGGGCTCATACTTGGTGTGGACCCGCCGGTGGGTGACAAGGGCGATCTCCTTGCGGAAACCTCTCCCGCAGACGACACAGGTGAAGGGCCACTCCTCACCCTGGGGTCCGAGGGTAACTGGGGCTGGCGGTGGCTGGTGCTCCCGCGTGTGGACCCGCTGGTGGGTGGTGAGGGCGACCTTCTGGAAGGGACGCTCGCCAGTGTGGGTGCGGCGGTGGACGACGAGGCGGGACTTGTCGATGAAGGCTTTGGGGCAGTCGGTGCAGAGGAAGGGGCGCTCCCCGGTGTGGATGCGGTGGTGGACTGCCAGCTGGGCCTTCTGGGCAAAGCTCTTCCCACACTTGCTGCAGGAGAAGGGCCGCTTGCCAATGGGGAGCCGCCTACAGGGGATAGCCGGGCTCTCCTCATCTTTGCCAGCCACCTTGGCATTGGCATTGACATTGGCATTGGCATTGGTCTTGATACTGGCATTGGTGTTGGCGCTGGCATTGGCATTGCCATTGCCATTGGCATCGGTGTCAGCGTTGGCATTGGTGTTGGCACTGGTGTCTTTGCTGCCTCCCTTGTCCCTGCCACGCTCATGGACACAGTGGTGCTTGACCAAGGCGATCTTCTGGCGGAAGCCCTTGCCACAGGTGGGGCAGCGGAAGGGCCGGTCGCCGGTGTGGATGCGCTGGTGGACGGTGAGGCGTGACTTGTCGCCAAAGCGCTTGCCACAGTCCTTGCCGGCGTGTGGAC